TGTTTTCTTGTATGTTCCTGTTTGACATAAATCCGGTTTGTGCCGGGTGTATGACGTCCTCCAAAACTGCCGCCATGCAATTGGTCAGTGCTTTAGAAAGCATTTTATAAACCACAAGGAGCAGCGTGATAGGTCTGTAATTCCTGATATTCATTTTATCACTTTTCTTATACAGAAGGGATAGTACACCTTTCCCTACGGTTTCCCCCAATTCGCCGGTTTCCCAAACTTCCTGATAATAATCCCACAAATCAGAGCTTTCTTTGGGAAACCCATCTATGCAGGAGTTTTCTCCTCCCTCATTTGAAGAAGTGTTGCCCACACTTTTTCTTTCGTTAGCTCCCTCTCCAGCCCGTTGCGCTGGCAGGCGGATAGGTGACGGTCCATTGGCCTGAGGAAGTTTTGTATTTCTCTGATTCGTTCTTCCTCGTGAGGGGGTGAGATATGGGTTGTGTATAGTTGTGTTAAAGAATGTCCTGGTAATCAGCGTACAGTGTGTTGTGTCAGTGGCGATGACATTGGTATCGTCTAGGTCATAAAAGGCCTCAATGACCGCCCTACGTGAACGGGCGGTAGCTATAGAAAAGAAATAAGTGTCCATTGAGGCATCGTGAGTCAGTTTGGACATTTTACCTCTGATCCTAATTCCTTGCCATCTATGTAGAGCGTATTGCAGCAGTTGGTCTTTGGTTTTTTGAATGGAGGAAGTGAGTTGTTGCCATTCCTGAGGAAACGGTTTAGGGCGTTGTGATTCTGCCTGTTGTTCTAGCAATATGAGTTGGTTGTGTGCTGTCATTTCCTGCTGTTGTCTTAGGGCAGCTTTGGCTTTGGCAAAATCCTTGCATTTTTTGACTAGAAATATAAGACCATTGTTAAACCACGCAATACGAGAGTCAAAAAGGTATTTTTGACGACGCCAGAATTCCCATTCTGAGCAAATCGTGTGTGCAAAAGCAGAATCTTTAAGCAAAGAGGTATTTAATTTGAAAAAGTCCGGTCCTTGATCGGGTCTCTTTCTCATTGTTAGAATGATGCCGCAGGTTTTATGGTCCAGCCCCGGATGGGGACTGCGTGGGAGGATTAGGGTCCAACGTAGAGCTGCTTCTAGGTCGTTGGAGAGTAAGATTTGGTCAATGCGAGATTTCTATAGTCGTGTCGGGTCGCTGTCACGTATACATGTGAAGGCCCGTTTTGGGGGATGCAGGCGGCGGAAGGTGTCGAAGACCGAAAGGGACGCGCCGAGATCGGCGAGCATTTGTTCATCTTCTGTCGCCACGAAGGAAGGGGTGTCCTGGGGGTTCCATCTGTCCAGCCCCCTGTCCGGGGTAGCGTTAAAGTCTCCGGCTATCACTAGAGGGACGCCTTCCGGAACTTGTGTTCCTATCTTTCCTAAGAACTCCCTTCTTTTCCCTACGGAGTTTGGTGAGTAGATACAAAGGATACAAAGCAGTTCAATTTCTAGCATGCCAAGGACCGAGGCCTATCGTCCTTCTTCCTCATCCACGACCCAATGAACTGGCTCGAACCTGGAGTCTGGAGGGACCCAGATTGCTACTCCTGGAGAGCCAGGTCTCGGTGCGTGTGCTCTAATGGCGGTGTGGGGCCAGACTTGTTTGTGGGCCCTATTTTGATCAGGGTTGTCTTGCAGGTGTGTTTCTTGCATGCATATCACATCCGGCCAACGTCTACCTCCTATTCCTTTGAGCTGGTTCCAGATGGCTTGACGTTTTTCGGGTTTGCATGATGCCAGTCCGTTTACATTGATGGAACGCAGGTCCAAGTCTACAGAGTCTACACATTTCTTCCATGCGTGGTTTCTACAATATAATGTTTCAAGGTCATTCATGACTGCGTGTGAATTGCGTGTGGTTTGGGACTCACAGTGGATGCCATTGCTTGACATCCCATCTCTTCAAGTGTAAGATCTTCTTTCGGATCATCCGACAAAGATGGCTACAGATGTCATCTTCGGACCAAAATTCGTTGGCTTTGATTTTTGCGCATTGAAGGTCCATGAGAGCATTGTGGCTATACCAGCCCAGGCTAGCGGACTTGCAAGGGTCAAAAAGCAAGTACAAGTCGTTTTTGGCCAATTGTTCGTCGCAGTCCTTGAATCTCAGACCAGCTTTGGCCCCTGGGGCATAGTGGTTGGGAATAAAGGTGCGCATTTGGGAAGTGAAGATTTTAGCTATTTCCCAGTTGTCGCCTTCCTGGGGCGCGAATTCCCACCCGTGTAATGTCACACCCCCATACTCTCCAATCGGGGAGAGACCCAATTCCCATTTTCCTTCCGTCTTCCTCAGGGGGATTACAAGCACACCATTCTGTTTAGCGGGCGGCGTCTCAAAGAGGCCCCGCTCAATGAGTTGTCGTACTTTGAGTCTTTGGGACGTCATTCCCTCCTCTGTTGTGGGTCTCTTTCCTTCCTCGTCCTGGTTGTGGTCGGGGGTTGAGGGTCAGTCGCAGCGGTGGGACGGAATGAGATCCTGTATGAGAGAGTTTGTATGCTGGTTGTGCCTGTTCGTCCTTCCGCTCTGCTTATTCGGCCTGCTCTCGAACATCCCTGGCCGGCACTCGAGAAGGGAGGTCAATGTAGCAGAGGAAGGGCTGCGGGAGGGGGGGGTAGGGAGGGGGGAGGGAGGAGGAGGTAGTTGGATGGAAAGGACT